ACAATACAAATATATATATATATATATATATATATATATATATATATATATATATATATATATATCAGGTCATCCCATAAGTTTTGTCCGAATTTTGAATAAAGAAAACTAGTGACCAAATGTTACATTTAATTACATATTCAATCAACAATGTATTTTCCCTGATTATCTATGACTTCCTTCCATCTATTAACAAGCTTACTAATTCCATTACTGTAAAATTCTTTTGGCTTTGATTCGAAGATGACGTAAACTACAAAACAAATGATAGTCTGAATGAGCAAGATCGGGAGAACAAGGTTGATGAGGAATTTTCTCCCAACCAAGTTCTTCGATCTTTCGTGACGTGATTCTTGCTGTGTGGGGTCGCGCGTTGTCCTGTTTCGATTCACTAGAGCAGGTCCTTTTTTCCTCAAAGCATGGTTCAAACGCACTAATTGCTGACAGTATATTTGAGCATTAATTGTTGCATTAGGTGGTAAGAATTCAAAGTGGATTATCGTTTCGGGATCCCACCAGATTGAAAGAAGAACATTTTGCACATGAAGTTCCCTTCTCGGCTGTGGCTGGGGTCCTTCCCCTTTACCAAGCCACTGTCTACGACGCTTAATATTTCGATAAAAGATCCATTTTTCGTCGCCAGTCACAAGTCTATCCAAAAAAGGTGAAACAAGTTGGCGAGAATGGAGAGAAGAGTAGATATCAACTCGGGATTTGAGGTTGCTTTCAGACAATTCATTTTCCAAGTTTAGGAACCTTTCCAAGTTGTTGAAGATGACGATGAACAGTTGTATGGTTTGAACTGAGAACCACTGCCAATTCCTCAACTGAGAAAGCAGGATTTTCTTCAAGGGCTGCTTCAAGAAGCTTTTCATCAAACTCAACTGGACGTCCGGTTCGATCTTCATCTTCAAGGGTGAAATCTCCACCTCTGAAATTTGCAAACCATCTTCTGCAAGTTCTTTCATTCACACATTCCTCTCCATAAACTGAGTGAATGTTTCTAGGCGCTTCGGCTTCTGAGTTTCCTTTCTTGAACTCCTAAAGCATTATGTGCCTCAAATGATTCTTGGGTACTTCCATGTTAGCAGGGTTTAAATCAAACAAAATTTAATTTTATTGTTCTCTGAAATAAAATTTGATCAGTTTAAATGCATCTCAACATAAAAATAATGTTCAGCTCCATTAGACATTATAAAATATTCTTTAAATTTCGTTCAATTTAACAAAAAGTTAAAATTCGGACAGAACTTATGGGATGACATCATATATATATATATGTATATATATATATTTATTAAAGACATTTTTTTTATGTTTAACGTTGTTATTTTATAGATACAAGTATTTAAGCAAATGCTCTGTTTATGATAAACAGTATTAAATAACATTTACCGGCCTGAATGTCCGAGAAATTTTCATAGAAAATATTCGTTCTTTGACAGGATTCGAACCTGCATCCTATACGGAACCGTCATATACGCTGACGTGCCTTACCGCTAGGCTACAAAGCCGGTAAATGTTATTTAATACTGTTTATCATAAACAGAGCATTTGCTTAAATACTTGTATCTATAAAATAACAACGTTAAACATAAAAAAAAAAAAATGTCTTTAATAAATAAATTGTCGGACCTTGTCCATTTCTTAATATATATATATATATATATAGCGATTTTCCAAGCGTAGCTTAGATATTGCACAAGGCCTAAATTATGGGGTCCTTATTGGGTGCTTCATAATTTCGACCTTGTGCCATATCTAAGATGCGCTTGAAAATTATATATATATATATATATATATATATATATATATATATATATATGTGTGTGTGTGTATTAATATAATTATAATAAAAGAAACAGAAGGACTTAATCATTTATTTCTAGATTTATTTCTCTACACCTGCAATGAAGAATTAAAAAAAAGGTTGAATAACTGAAAGCAATAAAAGGATTTTTAAGCAATAAATAAATAAATAAATAAAAACAAAATTTAAAAAAAAATGCATCTGGAATTTTGTAGCTTTGCTGAAATTCTTCTCGTTCTTACATTCGACTTTTTAAAAAATGATTTTAATTGGGAATTTTTGCTGAAAATGTCAGTGGATCGCGTGTTTGGAAGATGCACATTCTGCATACAAACTAATTTCTTATTATAGAAATCTGAAGAGGCAGACGAAAAATTTCCATTAAAAGGGTGGAGGGTGCAGGATCGGTGAATTTGTCTTCTCGTTGAAAGAAACAAAAAACAAAAGTAAAACTAAAACGAACCTGAAACAATAGACATTGTCTCATCGAAGGTTTTTTTTTTCTTCGAGAAAAAGACTTCATTTCAGGAAAAGAACTAATATTAATATATTTGTTGAAAAGTATATAATTCAATTGATTTTTCTTACCATTGACTTCATCTTCCTCCTTTAGGCCCGTTTCTCGTTACTCGCTGGCAGTTTGGACAGGAGTAGAGGTTTATCCCTTGTTTCTTGTTTAGGATTGGGTTTCTGGGTCCATCTAAAGTTTACTGCAACTCTATGCTTCTACCGCCTCCGTCTTAATACTGAAAATTTCTTTACCATTTTTTTTCAATAGGAGTAGATAGGTTCGCCTATCATCTAGTTCACGCTCCTCCACTCTCTTTTGCACAGGAGTAGAGATTCATCCCTGCTTTCATGTTCAGGATTGGGTTTAAATTTCCTATTAACTTCTACTTCAACTCTATATTTCTAACGTCTCCGCCTAAACTGTGGAATTTTATTTTATTTTTAAAGTCTTTTTCATTCTCTTACCCTCGTGGTGGCCCTTTGTATTTTAGGGGAATCATCGCTTTTGCTTGGGATAAATTGATTGAAACAAAGAAGGCAAAAGTTCTGTTGATGTCTTTCTAATTCCATAATTGAGGGATGTTTTAAAAGTAAACAACGAGTATTATTACTGTTTAAAAATAAAAATATTTTGTATTATGAGTTCAACGTACATGCAATGCCGACTCATTTTCTTCTATTATCAGATGTCAGGCAAAATGAACCCTTTATTTAATCCACATAAGAAGATATTTTATATTCGCTCCTCTGACCATATGTATATCTTGTCTTAATATGTACTGCTTCATTATTGTTTGTTCTGTTTCTGGTGAATCAAAGTACACACTGCCTGGTCTATGGTTTGAACTCATAACTACTATATCACTAAATTCACGAATTCCACCCTTTAATCCAATGGACTCTTTTCCTTGAAGTTTACACGGATCAACAAGAGACTGATGAATGCAGGTAGGAACACTGACTGAAACATTATAGTAATAAAATCAAAGATTAATACAATAGTCTGCATGTAAACAATATCAATGTCATTAAATATTTGTACTCGCTTGATTTTGACGTTGCCAGTAAGTAAATATGACATATCTGGTCTGGTACCCCTGCTTGTAAGTCTGGAGGTTCTCGGCAAAATCCAGAGATGGATATGCAATGTGATAGATCTTGATCTGTCATCTAGTTTACAGTTGCTTTCTCACAGACGTGCCGTCGTTTCCCCTGTCACTTCTATAAGTTTTTTTTCACGGCAACTGTTCTGACGAGTTGCTTTCTCTGGTCCCCAGACTGCATGAATTTAAGCGAGCTATTAGGTTGGCATCTCGATCACACCCTTTCACTGTCGAAGCGGTTAAATGCAACCGTCTCTTCTACTCAAACAGCTTCTTTTCTCGCACTTCCCGTCTGTGGAATTCTCTTCCTCTTACTTGCTTCCCTGATAACTGAAATCTTCAAATATTCAAGTGTAATGTCAATCGATATCTTCTGATACCTTGATCTTGTTTCCCGTCCTTCTTTTTATCTTCTCCCCAAACACGTCTCTTTAACATTGGTCTCTACCCTCTATAACTCCTTGCGCGCTAGTGGAACTCCCGCCTTGCTTCGGGTGAAATGTCTCTGAAATCTTAGAGTGTCTATTTTATGAAAAGACTTGAATTTTGTATGAGTACATATACAGGGGGTTGCAAGAGTTTATGCCACATTCTAAGAACTCTAATATCATGATCTACAAATGAGTGAACAGGTACTATCTATCAGCTACACGTATTAAATTTTTGTTGATTTCATTTTAATTTAATTAATTAAATTTAATATAATTTTGTTTTTGTCTCTTTACAGTGGCTTAATGTGACATCGAAAACGGGCATATCTTAAAGTTTCAACATCTTCTGTAAAGACACTATCCATTTTAAAACATCCTTTTGCTTCTCGGCTTAACCCTCTTTCTCTTGTTACAATTTAACAAAGCCTTGTTTTCAAACGTCCACATCTCAATCTCTGTTAGAAGTTTGTTTCAGGTTCTCGTTTATTTATTATCCATGGGTCGTAAATAATTGGTGACAGATGCATTAATGTATTACGCAGCAATGTAGGAATATTCACGAATTGGAGAATCCATTAAATATTTTTTGTACATTAAAAAAACTCGGGTTTGCAGGAATCTCGTGACTATTGTCTGTTGATAATTGTTGTTGTTGTTAGGTTGTTTTTTCCGAAGGCTGCGTAAGCGTGCTAAACGCGCAGTAATTAGAGACAAGCAAATTACAAAACTGAAAACAAGAAGACGTTATCTGCACAAACATCCTTTTATATGGCATCATTCAGTGCTTTTTGATTACCTAAGGGTGGAATTATTCTCTATGTTCTCTGCTTAATCCTCTTACATGTTGATGGGCAAAAGAAAAATGATAAATAAAAACTTTTATGTATTCTTTTTGCTGGATAAAAGGGTTAACGAATTTCGGATCAGTTCTAGAGATCGATTTTGGAAACTATTCTTAACCCTGGATATTAAATTATATTTTTCAGTGTTCAACATTTCTACCTTAGAAAAGTAAAAAAAAAATATAGAAAGAAATGATCATTAGATGGTCTTTTGTGTGACATTTAAAGGCTTTGACAATTTCCTTATAAAGAAACATTCATTGACCGAACTGTTAGAGTTGCTGCCATTTGCAATTTATAAAGCTTACGGTCACATCACTTTGAAACACTTCTTCCCGTGCGATCATCGTAGTTAAACAACGTCGATCCTAGTCAGCACTTAGATGAGTGACAGCTTGGGAATACCAAGTGCTGTAGCTTGGATGTGCGGAGGGTGAAATAGGATAATAGCTGGTAATTGTTAATCGGTGTGCCGATTTTCAATCCTAGTCGGGATCGTTGTAATCACGCGCAAATTCCCCTGACAATGATACGAATTCAACACTTCACCCACCACCTATAGGTTAATTAGTAAGTAAATCACTAAACCCTTATTATCTCCCCTCCAAATTCTAACAATGTAAAATAGGTTCTGGCTTTAAATAACCTGCAAGTGGTTGATAACCCGTAGAAAACTAATCCATGTTAAATCCAATAACTGTTATTGCTCTTTCTCCTATTGATAGGAGTGTTCTTCCTAAGCGTTGTCTCATCATAGGAGTTATTCTTCCAATCGAACAGAGAATATATACAAGTAAAATCCTGCATATCTCTACAATATAAAGGGTGAAAGAAATTCAAGAAATTATTCCTTAAGAAAATTTACTGCATTTTTTAAAACGAGCAAAAAATCCTGATCCCGAAAATGATTATGAAGTTTCCACAGATTCTTATATGAGGAATGACGAAAAGAATACATGTCATAGCAATTTCAAGACTGGAACATATCAAGTTGTTTTTTTTTTTAAAAACAATCCAGTATTAAGGTGGACTTCTTTTTGTCCTCTGTTTTCAAAAGAGGATCAGCTGCAGAAAACAAAATTGTCCTTTTATTAGTTATATTACATTCAGTAACTCGACATGCGAGTATTTACACACCGCCAGGAAAATTGGTTCACAGTGTCGCCATTGATATTTTTCTCGCCAGAATTCATTTTGCATTTCCATAAGTTGGTGCCACTTATTGACATGATGGAACTTCCGAGTCTGATCTGCGAGAAGAACGTATTCACTAAAGAATGTGATCTACGAGTTTAGAAAATTCTCTGCATTAAACTACATATTAAAAATAAATATATACGGAATCAGACATGAAAAAGAAGTAATCTTTATTGTATTTAGTTTTAGTATAATAATATACTACACAAATAATACCATATGAAGAAAAAAGAAACAAGGGGAAGTTATTATTTTAACTAATACAATCACTGTCTATTTGAACACCATAGAGAGATGCAACACCATAGAGAGGTGCAACAAATAAATTTTGGGCATTGGGTCGCATAATGATGCAATAAATATGCATACACCTGGGTTACCCCTCACAGTAATATGTTTGACTGGTGTCAGCCATAAATACAGACTGATGTGGAGGTACAGGCACAACGCCTATTGTCTTCGCCTATTGCCTACGCCTATTGTCTTCGCCTATTGCCTACCACTACGACGAGGACCAGTCCATTACGGTTACCTGCTAGATTGTCCTACTCAGTTACAGTAGTCAACAACCACTTTGCTATTTCGAACAAATATATCCCTTTCCGGGAGATATCACATAATTTTCCAGCAAATGAAATCTACATGAGATTATAATTTTTATCTCTTTATCGTAGACCACATACTTAAGAAAAAACATGCACACCGATCAACTACTTCTGTAGTGTCTTTTCTATAAACACTTTCATTTGTAATTGTTCTGGTGTTCTTATGCGGGTTAATAAATCTAAGTGCAGTACTATATTGGCAGTTAGGTCTCATAATTTTACTATTAAAAATGTTAGATGAAACCGTAACTTCTATGCTAACAATATCTTCTTTCGCACTTGCCGCTCGTGGAAATCTCTTCCGGCTTCTGGCTTTCCAGTCAACTTTGATCTTCAAATGCAACTTAAATCGTCATCTATCTTTTTGAACCGTGGTCTTTTAATGTTCTATTTCACTTCAAGGTTTTCTCAAATTCTTTCGCTTTCAGTAACCAATTGCTTATTAGCGGATTTGGGGGTCGACTGTTAAAACTGTTAAAATATGATTGCATTCTTGACGAATTACACTAAGAAATATTAATAGTTACCCGTGACAACGTGTCTTGGTTATTTCACTTGAAATCCAGTTAAAATTATAGATGAATTAAAAATATTGGCCCTTTCTTGAGGAATGGGACATTTCATCACTGACCACTCAACACCGCCGACTCAAACCCTGTCTACTCATCGCTGTGATAACTCAACTCCAAGACAACTCACTATCAACCTAAGGAGGAAAATTCAACGCTTCCGTCGAATTCATAGCTTCAGAATTCATAGTGTGCACATCTATTACATCTGCTTTGATTCGTAGATATTTTGAAAGTTTGGCTGTTTTTCTTAGTGATTTATTAGTTACAACAACCTATTGGCTGACTAGGACAAATAAACATGCTAAAGTAAATACATCACTTCACACAGAGTTGGGGATGGAGCAGCCCCCACCACAATATGGAGATGCATTATTGGGTTGCAAAACGGTGCAGAGAAACTTAGATGCATTTTTTGAGAAATTAATCCCCCTAAATTGAAGATGTATATGAAAGCAGATAAATGAATTTTAGAGATTGTTTCTTCTTTAAGCTGGCCATGATGAGTCGTCCTGCAACTCTTCTATTGCTAGCAATTCTGATGGCTATATTCTTATTGGTTAAGAAAATACGCTCGTAGAATTTGGATTCCAAATTTTTCTATTGAATGTTTGATGTTTATCGGAATCTATTTTACAGGGGTGAACTGTATAAGCAGAACAACATGGCTTCTTCTCATGGAAGAAACGATAACCTGTAACTGATTTTTAATTAACGACATATTGAATAGTTTATATCAATTTAGAAATACATCTGCAAGATGACCGCGACTACATTATCAGCGATGTTGCACTGGGATACTTCGGCTTTATACAGCATCAGACTACTTCACTCAGGTTACCCTGTTCGTGGTGATCAAATACGGGGGATCAAATTTGGAAGCCTGAAAAGCCGTAAATCAGCTATCCTCCAATCAAATTAATACAATATTAAGATATTTTTGCTCTCCATCAGCAAGGTTAACCGCCAGAAAAGTGACACATTACACTTCCTCGGGCTAACGTTCTTAACTGACATTATGGGGAAATATATTGAATCCATTGCTAGGTCAGCTGCTAAGAAAGCTGCTTCACTCTATCTTGAAAGACAATTTTTCTATTCAGAAACTATATTAAATATTTCTAAATGTACCATTAGTCCATGCTTAGAATATTGCTGCCACATAGGGTCCGGTGCCCCTGCTATTTACATTAAGCTATTTGAAAAACGTAAAGAAGAATCAGCAATATTGTTCGTCCTGATCTGACAGCTAGGCTTCAGTCATTTGCCCACCGCCGTAAGGTTGCCTCTCTGTGTCATTTCGATAAATACTTTGATGGAAATTGTTCGGATTATATATTCACTATGGTACCTAGACTTTTTGAATTTAAGCGCAGAACTAAACTGGCGTCGAGATCTCATCAATTTACAGTTGGGCTGGTTATATATAGCCGTAAGTTCTATGCTAACAGTTTCTTTTCTCACACTTCTCGCTTGTGGAACTCCACTTCGTGCTTCCCAGCCAAAATCCAATGCTTGATTACTCGGTCACTGTTTATGTTTCTAATTCTTCCACACTCTGTAATCCTTTCTGTCTTAGGGGTTTTACTGCCTTGCATAGAATGATACCAATTAAAAAAAAAATTCACATGCAATATTTCTTGGCACGGGAAAAACGGGTAGCTCTGGATGTCCTTGTGTATAAACTCTTTACAGACTTTGAGAACGTTGTTGACTGCAAACAGCTAACATAAGGAGAAATTTTATATTTAATTCTAAGCTTGCTCTAGCATTTATGAAAGTTAATCCGTTCGAATAGACAAAATCTCTGTGAAATTCGCATGGATACAATAGATACAATACAGACATTATTTATCGCCTTTCATTGTGTTAACTGCCAGTAATAGTGTTCTTTATGACGAGAAGATATGAGAAGACTTCCCCTGAGGACAGCTGTTGAGCGCGCGAGGAACTGTTCACAAACGGAAGCGTATGGTGGAACAGTATCAACCAAGAATCACAGCTACTGATCAAACCATTATTAGATCTCAAAAGAATGCATCTGCCTTCAAAGGGCGTCCTCAATAAAATCACCTCGTATAAGAATTGGTGATTACACATCATGAACTTTTAGTTGTATCCAAATAATTTCGATAAGTTACAAGCAGTATTTCTTTTTGTATAAAGCTTATGCAAACATTTTCTGAGACTCAAATCCAAGGATAAGACAAGATTTTCAACTCAGCTTTTAACACTTTGAGCTCTGCGTTCCTGAACAATTTTAACCCTTCTGCCTGATCTCCCGGGTCAAAATTCGCAAATAATTGACATGTAATGTTTCACGGTAGACCTAAAATTAGTTACAACTGTTTAGCCACCGTTCAACCGGTGGCTGGGCATTACGTCATTTTTCTCTACCACCGGTAAAGCGGTGGCCAGGGATCAAAGTTTTAAGAAGATAACTGATTTGACATAATTCCCAAATAAACAACGGAATTAAAAAAAAAAGCATTCGTTGCACCAGACGAAGGAAAGTATTTTGAATGTATTTCACACGGATGATAATTTATTGTCCAGATTGTGAAAATCGGTATGAATGTACATTCGTGAAGATCTCAAATATACTCAAGGAAAATGCTCTCTACATTTGATATAAACAAAACAGGAAGTAAAATAAAAGTTCAGTTCACCTTATTATTTTCACTATTTATGTTCAGACTATTTTCAACATCTTTGGTTAGGTATAAGGCTTTAGGTTCACTAGGGAAACGTGTCCTATGGGATAACAGCCAAGTGGATTTGTCAATTTGGTTATATAGTGGTTGTCAGTTCAATCCCTGGGTCGGGCAGTGTGTACTTGCATTCAGTGGAAACAGGTGAGCAATGATTGAACCGTACTAAATAAAAATACATGAGCAATGGCACAAAATGCTAACATCTTCAGTTGTCTTCATTACATTTCGGCAGTGATTCCCTCCGGCCTTTCTCAAATATTTATCGGTCCGATTAACCTACAGTGGATTCTGAATTATCCCTTTATTTAATCTATGGGGGTATAAGATTCTCG